GAAGTAGCAGAAAAGCATGCAGCTCATTAGAAAATGTTAACTTTAACAGGGGGGCAGGCTGACACTGACTGAATATAAGGGGTAGTAATTATTTTAAAATGGGCTGAACCACTATTCCTATACAGGCTGGACAGAAGGAATCATGGATATAAAAGCAGCTCTCAAAAGCTTTAACCTAGCCATGGATGGATGGATGGATGGATGGATGGGGTTGGTGTATAATCTTTTTGGCAAATATAAACCTGCTCCTGATGAACTTCCAGATAAACCACAGTTAAGGTCAACAGTTGTTAGAGTTTCCAGAACTCAGTGATAAATGCTTTGACTCACACAGTTGTTTCAAGTTGGGGTCACTATGAGGTCGACATCACCCTTTTCACTTTTCCCTTATCCATTGTATCATATTTCTCCTTTTTAGCCTTTTTTAAGTTTATAGTCTCAGAAATGCATTCACAGCATTGTTGCCTACCACTATGCCCACTTCCATGCAACCTCTTTCCTTCTACTGGTCAAATAATCAAATAAACTAGAAAAGGAGTGGAGTACAGGCAGTAGAATTGCTACTGGATAGAGTCATATAGCAAATGCAATTCTTTTTGAGAAAACAGGGTTTTTTTTCTAAGTAGATGGAAGTAGGGCAGGGTGTGGGGTGCAAGAGTTCCTTAAAGGCTGCACTGCACATCTGCACTGTGCAGCAGAGGACACACCACTAACAGGAACCAGATTGGCTTCATTGCAAGGTCACGTACTACAATCAGCAGTTAGGCTTGCTCACGCCAAAAGATTATGTGTCATACAAGACGTATTCTTACGTCATTGGATGTACGGGAAAATGGCAAAAGGAGTGGTGTACAAAGATTTTACAAGAATGCTGATTTTAATCACAGATTGAGTTTGAAAACAAAGAATTAGCTTAAAGGTCAGGAAACGCATTTGTTAGCTGGTCGTATTCACCTGCTGTGAATAATCTCTACATGTGGAATGTTTGCACAAATGTCCATGAGACTGTACATTAATCATTACAACACTGAAATTCCACTGTAAAACTGAGACAGTTCATGATGCTTCAGCAGCTGCTGGGCTTTTCTGACACTTTCTTAGCTGTGGTTGGTCATGCCTCATGTCACAACTATTGCAAACTCATAAAGAACATCTGTTGTTTGGGACCATGGTGAATTATAATGAAACTAGTTTAATACTATTGTCATTATCATCATGTTACTGATATCAAAACTCATGGCTTCTGTCTTAGGTACACCTTGCTGGTACCAGCTTCTGCCTCCTTTTGCCTTCAGAACTGTTAATTTTTCATGGCATAGATTCAACAAGGTCCTTGAAACATTCCTTTTGGTCCATATTGATAAGATACTATCACACTGCTGCACGTGCATGGAGACTGTGGACGCAACTCGAGTACAGTGAACTCAGTGTCATGTTCAAGAAACTATTTTGAGATTATTTGAAATTTGTGACATTGACCACGGTGGTTTATAGGGATGGACATGGTCAGCAACAATACTCAGGTAGGCTGTGGTATTCAAGTTGTACTCAGTTGGTTCTAATGAGCCTAAATTGTGCCAAAACAGACATCCTACACAACATTTACGATCAAACACTGATCATAACATTATGACCACGTGCCTAATATTGTGGCAGTCCCTCTTTTGCTATCAAAACAAGCCTAAAACATTGAGGCATGGACTTCACTAGACCCTGAACTTGTGCTGTGGTATCTGGCACTAAGAAGTTAGCAACAGATCCTGTAAGTCCTGTAAGTTGTGAGGCCTCCATGAATTGGACTTGCTTGATCACCACATTGCCCAGATATATGATTGGATTGAGAGCTGTGGAATTTGGTCAACACTTCAAATTTGTTGTGCTTCTTGTATCTTTGTGACAGGGCATATTCATCCTGCTGGAAGAGGCCACAGCTGTCAGGGAATTCAGCTTCCATGAAAGGATGCACATGGTCTCTAACAACGTTTAGGTAGATGGTATGTGTTAAAGTAACATCCACGTGAATGGCAGGACCCAAGCTTTTCCAGTAGGACAACTTCCATTTCTCTGTGGTCCAGATCCCTATGCAGCCTCATACCCAACAAACTGCAATGAAAAGTGCAATGTGTATTCTGATAATGTCTACCACAACCAGCATGAACTTTTTCAGAAATTTGTGTAACAGTAGCTCATCTGTTGGATCAGAGCATACTGGCCTTCACTCGCCATGTTCCTCACAGTTTCATAAACCAAAGCATTGGACACATCTAATGAAGATTTTGCCAGTCACCCCAAGGAAGCCTACAACTGTGCACAACAAATTTCACTGTTTTCACTAAAAATTAAAAAACTCTAAGGGTGGAGGGATGATTTTTATCAGATAAATCACAATATTTTACAATATACTTTAAATGAATAATAATGCTTATTTGGAATGATTCAGCAATTCCTGTAATGGATCTAAGTTGTGAACTTCCGTGTGTATTTGTTGCACTAAGCAATTTGTGGTTAAAATACAGCTGTTCCCACTCATATGTGGCCACCAGCAGTGCAGTTTAAGCATTTAATCCCCTCTGGTTTCCAGTCACAAACAAGTCCCAAAGCATGAGACAGGAGGTGGGGCCCCACCAGTATCAGACCATGATCTCGTAAGAAAGGAAGTGAGATGTGCTAAATGTTCCTAACATTAACTTTATGAAGTCTTGCTGACCAGCAAGTGGAAACAATAGGAGTGGATTTACACCCTGACGACTGACAGTTTACATGTGAGCATATGTGAACAACTCCCCTGTTGTTGGATCTGTGCGCATCCAATATACAACTTTTGCTCACACTGTGGTCTTAAAGCTTTATAAACCTTGTGTGTGTTACAGGATTATTCTGCTGGAAACACACTAAATTGATAGAAAAGTGTTTTACATTGGAAGAGATAATTGCAGAGCAGGGAAGAGCGCGCATTTTTGAGACTTTGTCAATCACCATGACAGAACTGCCAGATTTTTTTTTCTTTTTACAGACGAACACCCTCTTTGAACTGATTGTAATTATTTCAGTGTTTCAGAGATTCTTTGCAATAGGCTGCCATACTGAATATTTAAGGATGCTTGACAGTTGTCTGAGTACCAGCCACCAGTGACCCTGTTACCCTGTCGTGCTTAACACGGATAATAAATCTTTCAGCTCAAGTACAGAGTGCATGCAGATATCAAGTGATGCAGATTTTTTTTTCCCCCTCAATGAAATAAAGATACTCACAAACACACACTATATCAGCCATCCATATTTAATAAAATTATGTTGCCATATGGAAGCACTTTATAAAAAGTGGTGACTTTTTTTTTCCTTACTTTTTTTCAATTTACCATTCAAGCAAAACAAAGTGGTTTTGTAAAGCATGCAGTTAATTTATCCCTCATCATGGAATTTGGCTGTGAAGAAATTGGTATTTTTTTAACTGCTCTCCGGATCAAAAGATCATGGGAAGACTAAAACACAATACTTATACACACTCATTTATGAAATATCAGTCGATTTTTAACTCCTTTCACACAAATAGTGTTTGTACAGTGAAAGAATGTGTGAGAAGAGCTGGATTATATGAATAAGTTACCTGACACAGAGGAGTAATCAAAGAAAACTAGCACAAAATCATCTTTGTGACGGCTAAAGTTCACTCTTTGTGTTGAAGACAGGGGGATTCCCCAACAGTGCTCTCAACTTCAAACATTTATTGACTCAGTCAGTACACCTGTCTGAAGTTCAGCCCCAGCTTTCATCTGAGCAAATCCTTCACACTGCTGATTTCACTCACTGATGTCAGAGGGCTGAGCTGAAGGCGCCAATTGCACTGAGAAGCACAGTGAGACCTCTAGCAATCATTAGATAAAGGGCGACAAAAGACAGAATAAAACTTTATATAAAATCCTGGAAGAGCCTCCTGCATTTCCTTTCATGCCCCGGCGATCTGTCGAGTTCTACATCTGAAGAATCATCATACTTCAGGTAGATATCATGAACATATGCACTCATGCCAGCTGTGAACTTACCAGGCTCCAAAGTAGGAATGTGCACGATTTACAACCACATCAGAATAAATGAATGCATCAAGATAAAAGACAACAGTAACAGTGCATGTGTTTTTCTAACAGCGAATAACTGTGTTACGCATATTAAACAACGTCATATGTTGTCTGCAATGGAGCCCAAGAGCCAAAAAAAAGTTAGTTTAACTGGGTGACATGTTAACCAGACGTCAGTTTGCGTGATGATATAAATATGAAGCCAGGATCAGTCCTTTTTCTCATTAATCTGCGTGATTGATGCCGCTTTGTTGTGCCATCACCCTGTGGACTCCATTGACTACAGGTTTTTATGAATATGTCACATCCTGCACAAGTATATGGCAAGCTGCATCTCCATGAACTGCTTCCACCAACGATGCATCACCTAATCATCTTATCACTCCCCAAAAGACTAAAAATGGGGCAAAAGAGTAGGTATGTTTGGGATAATGTGGGACACTGTCTGAAACATTAACAGATTTAACTTGAAAAGTAAACAAATGGAGGCAGAGGACAATACATGGTATTTTACGTGGATGCAAACTTTTTATAAGCTGAAATGGAAGCTAAAGCTTGTTTTATAATAATGAGATAAGTGATAAGTCTATCACACATATGGGAAGTTGAAATGATCATGAAATAATGATAGGAATTATATAAATATTATCTGGCAGACAATCAGTGTTGTAGAGGGTGATAGCTGGCTCACAGAGCCAGCCTTCCTAATCAGTTTCTTCAGTCTGTTGTTGTTCCCAGCTCTGATGCTGCTCCCACACAGACCACAGCAAAGTACACTGTGCTCGCCACAACTGAATGACAGATATTTGTTTACCTGTGTATTCCATTTATCTATCACACAAGCTGCTGAGAGTCGTGACTGTCATTCAGACCCGAGTCTGTCTGGTGATCAGTTCTGGGCTTCAGCAGGCAGATTTTTGTAAACTAATGACGATCATTGTTGTCTCAATATGTGTCTTTGGTCAAGCTCTGTAGCAGAGAATGCTGGAAGTTCTCATCACACGACTCGGGGATCAAAAATTCCAGCAGCAGGTCACAGATGCAATAAAGCAGATGCCTGCAGAAAAACACAGATGTAGGAAAAAGACATCAGGAAACTGACATTCTTAGATTGATGATATAATAGTATAAATATGAAAGGTAAGAGGAGTTTGCAGTTCTATCTGAAACATTAACATTGTGGTTGTACTGTTTAGTGATAATCAGAGACCAGCACTGATACAGTTTCTGTTTCTTGTTTGCTTAGTGGTTTTGGTTGCTGACTCACTTGTTTATCTGGTGGTCCTGCAAAGACTCCAGCATAGTCTCCAAACTCAGTCTGTACTTCTCATTACCCAGCATGTCAGTGATGAGCTCTGCTCAGACACAAACAGTGAAACATACTGTCAGAAGCTATGAGAATCAGGGCAGCATTTAACAGCAGTAATCTGATTTGAACAGCTGTTATTCACCTGGGAGCAGCTGCATCAGGCAGTCCAAACATTGCTCCTTTGTTTTCTCCTTTTGTGCAGCACTTCGCTCAGGCTGTGGTTGAGCAGGCAGAGTGCCACCGGGCCATACAGCTTCCTGCAGCACTTGTAGGTAAATCACCCAGCAAGGAGCACTGGTAAGGTGGGCGACACCTACATCCAACCATCTGATACAGAAACCAGTTCAATACTTTAGTGAGTGCGTCCATGTTCAGGACATGTGCCAGTGTGTCAAACAGACAGAAGGGGAATTAAATGCAAGCTCATGAAAAAGCGTGCTTTAACCAATTAAAGGAGAATGCAAAGCATGAACCTTCAGCCAGAAGTGAGGTCCCAGAGGCAGATATCAAGCCTTTATGACTATTTAATGATAGCATAACATTAGGGGTCGGAAAAGCCCATTTTCCACACACCATGTGGTAAAGTGGGTCCAGCAGTTATTTAGTTTAGCAAGTAAAGCACAAAAACCCATAACATTTATGTGTGTGTGTTAAAAAACTCCTGAAAGACAATCAGAGAGAAGATCGTGCACCATTAAAATCCAACTAACCACCACTAACCTGTCAATGTGCTCTCTAGATCTGGCTGAATGAAGGAAAAATAAATGACTGTAAATATGTCACCTGCTCACAAAATACACCCCATAGCCAACTGTTGATGCCTTGCTGTGATTTATTGTAATGAATAAAAAATTTTCCTGCAATGTAAATAACAGAATGACAGTACAAAGACTGCGAACAACCAAAAGGACATCACACAAACTATGGCAGAGAGTAGACAAACACCAGAAAAGTCCTCTAGCAGAGTCACCTGAGGTATAAGTTTTATCAAGTCTAAGTTTCGTGTTCCAGGTAGAGAGAGTGTCAGTCTCCTGATCCCTAACTGGGAGCTGGTTCCACAGGAGAAGAGCCTGACAGTCGAAGGCTCAGCCTCCCATTCTACTTTAAGAAACTCTACCCATACAATATGATGATCATTCAGGACTTTCTATTCAAAGAGAAGAATTTTGAATTAAGTTGTGGTTTTAACAGGCAGCAAATCAAGAGAAGCTGATATGTTAGCACTCTCACTGTGGGCTTTGAACTGAAGGTTTTTCAGGGAGGTTTTACCTGTTTACAGTAACCCACTCTAGAAGTAACAATCTCAAAGTCATTTTTCTGTCTCACTCTCACAGGATGTTTCTAAATTTGACAATATTGCTCAGATGAAGTGAAACAGTCCTAGAGATTTGTTTAATGTGTGAGTTGAGTGACATATCCTGTTCAGAAATGGCTCCAAGATTCGTCACAGTGTTACTCGAGGCCAAGGTAATGCAGTCAAGGTTAAGTATTTGATTATACGCCATGTATCTGATATTTTAGAGAGAAATAACACAATCGTTTCAGTTTTGTCTGGGTTTAGAAGTAGAAAATGACAGGGCATCCGGTACTTTAAGACTTGCCTGTAGTTTTACTAATTGCTATGAGTCATCTGGCTTATTATCACAGGGCGTCCAAAGGTAGCAGAAGTTATTCGCCCACGTATGTCAAAGTTACAGTCTCAATGTTATTCTTTATTTTTTCTCAGTGTCTTCTTGAGGGACAGTATGTGTAT